GCTGACACCTGCAAATCAGATCCTGTCACTAGCAGAACCTCTACTGTACATCCTCAGACCAGTATTGTTTCTCATCTTGAGGAATCCCCATTTCTGTGGCATATGAATGGACACCTAGAAGGTACCGTCTGGCTTGATCTAATATAGAATTAGCCACTAGCTCCTCCCCTCCCTTTGCTATTCCTATTTGGAACCTTGGGGTGTCACGCTCTGCCTGTAGCCTCCCAGGCAATCCTTTGTCTCCCCTGCTCACCCCTGGATTCAGGATGGAGGCTCTGACTAGCTGCGCTCATGGGTTGTCCCAGAAGAGGGGTTTGGTGATGACTTAACTGTAGGCTAAACACAGAGCAGAAGGAAGAGGAGTGAACTGTAGACACTCAGCCAGAGACAAAATTCCCAAGAGCTAAAATGGAAATGATGAACAAACGAAACTATAGCTATCCTAGACTGTAGGCAGGACTGGTTCATCTATAAATTGCCACAAGAAAACTAGGAGCTGAACAGATTCAGTTTAACAGAATCATTTAATCATAAGTTACTTATATTTTTTAAAAAATCCAAAAAGTGTAAAAATTTCCCATTTTCTGTTTACTAAAAATAAAGAAGTTAAATATAAAATCATAAGTCTTTGAGTTTTTCCTAGGGCTGGGGATGCAGCTCAGTGGTGTTCCCCAATTGGACCCCCAACTCTGCAAAGAAGGGGAGAGGGGGAGACAGAGGGAGACTGAGTCAGGAAATACTTTTTTTCATAATAAAACAAAAAATGATTTCTTCTTGATAAATCTTAATACTAAACTAGCCCCATTGACAAAGTACCAGCAGCACGGGGGTCCGAATCTCTAGATTTCGGTCCTCTGCCCATCAACAACTAATCCATGTGATTTTAGACAAATCAGACCTGTGAGCTTCAGAAGTCTCCTCTAGACAGTAAGACTGGACCACACACGTGAACGTTTTGTGTACTACTTCTATCCTCCTTTCTAATACGCACAGAGCTCTATTAAGCAACATGAGGCAGGCTGACTGCTGAAAGCTCAAGGCCAGCCTGAACTACAAAGCAAGGCCCTGTCTCACAAAAGAAAAAACAAGCAAATAAAGTCATGAAAGCACCAAATGTCTGTAGGAGATACAGTGTCTTGATCATATTCTTCTTCTTCTTTTTTTTTTTTTTGGTAGAGCTGGGGATTAGCTCAGGCCCTTGCGCTTGCCAGGGAAGCGCTTATTCTACTGAGCCATCTCCCCAGCCCATATTTTTGATACTATTATTGAGTTTTTCTGTACACAGGAGCATGTTGTGTGTATGTTCTGAGTATATAAAAATGGCATTCTTCATATTATAAAAATTTTCATTACTACATATTTGCAGTACATGATGATTATATCCACCATGGAGAGTTGTTACATACATATAGCACACTTGTTTTTGCGGAACCGGGGATTGAACTCAGGCCCTTGTGCTTGCCAGGGAAGCGCTTCTTCTACTGAGCCATCTCCCTGGCCCCTAGCACACATTTTTCAGTCCCTTTTTCCATTCTTCATACTTGAACATTAAACGATTATGTCATTATTAATGATAATGACTGTGTTATCATTAATATCATTTCCAATATGAAATTATGAAATATTTAAGGGTCAACCTGGCTCAATTTTCAAAACTCCTGGTGCCGTGCATCCAGTTTACCTTCTCCATCTCTAAGTGAGTGATGTCTCTCAACCATGCTTTGTGTGTGCTCTCATCAAAGTCACTTTAACAAGCTGAGGGCACATACGTGTACGTACGTCCTGTTGTGGCTTTCAAACACCAGGATGAATGAAGGAGCTGAATTCCATCTGTGGACCTCCCCATTTACTCCCAGCACCAGGCCTGCCAGAGGTAGGAGTTCAGAAGACTGGCTTTGCCTGGCCTGTTCACAGTCATATTTCAATCTGTCTCACATGTGCATCTTGCTGATTGCCGCAAGACCATGTAATTGACTGTCAGGTCAGGGGCTACAAGGCTCCTGGGAAAGTTTTAAAGTTAAAAACTCTTCTTATATAAATATTCAGGAAAATGTACAAAAGGTTATTGTCTTCTTTTGTTCAGCCACTCAATTAATTACACATGGATTACTGCACCAAAGATCTGGGGTTAACCTGATACCTACAGAGAGAACATAATCAACCTGTTTATCATATGAGATTTTCCTTATTGCTGCCGCGATCAAATGTAAGATTTTAGTACAGTAGTAGGAAATTTTCCAGGAAAGCAAAAGCTTTAATTCCACTCTGAGGAATAGAAGGTGAGAGCAGGGTGGAGACCCCCAGATGGAGCCGACGTATGATCCATGGCAGAAAAGGACACCTGGGACTGGGTCTGCTGAGCAGGAGCCTGCCAAGCACAGGCTCCATGAGGATACAAGGGAAAGGAGCCAGTGGGCAAGTAAGAGCAGGGTGATTACAGCACACGGAGAAGATGCGTTCTGAGCACAACATTCGTTTCTCTCCTCTAATCCCAGAGGTTGCCATGGTACCTACACTCGGGAAAACTGGGTCTATGAGGTGGTGCTGCCGCATTGCTGTAAGAATTTGGTGACTTTTCTGGCACCAGAAAAACTACAGCTAGAGGTGTAATAAGACCATCAGAAGGTACTTACACTGTTAGAAGACAATGAGAGGTTACAAAATTTAGCTTCCACTTCTCTTCTTGTCAGCTTCTCCGTCTAATTCAGTAGAGAAAGGGAACAGTGAGGGTCAGCAAACTGGGCCCTGACTAATGTATAACTCCCATGCTAATTCTGACAATTATGCCCTTCATTTTGGACAAATTGCACCTAATTATAAATGATGGACTTAATTCTGTGGACAAAGAACTTACCCCAAAATTCATGTAAAATCATAACTAATATTGTAAAAGTTGAAAAAGCTTGACATGAATGAATTACAAGGGGGACAGTAACATCTACTGAACAGGAAGGGGACTCTTAACAGGCTTACCCAAGACATTTCTGTTTGGGTCTGGAGGGAATCATTTGCATTCATGTTCCTCTAATAAAACCGGGGACCTGAGCACCTCATCCTGCACTGGCAGACGGGCAACAGCTATGGGACACGAGGAAGAGTGAGCTGTGTCCCTTCCGGAGAATCCCTGGGGCTCCGCCAGTGTCCTACCAACATCGTGTTGTCTGTCACTGCCAAATAGCAGCAGCACTTTGTAGGTGAAGGGGAAGAACCACCAAGAAACAAAGAGCAAAGTTTGGCCCCCGGCATGTGTCGGCCAGACTAAAGAAATGCTGGCCAAGCCTTGTGTTGCACAAAAGCAGTAAGCCGCGACAGGCCTCCACAGCCCACGCTGCCTCAAGCAGGCTGTCTGGTCCTGTTAGTTTCCAAATTCTCTTTATTACATTTATTTATTGTGTGTGTGTGTGTGTGGCCAGCTCAGCCCACCAGGGGGCAGGGCTGGCTGGCATGTGGTGCTGGAGGATCGAACCGAGGTCCCTATGCTTTGCCAAGCTTGTTTCAAGTAGGTGCTTTAGACCACTGAGCCATCTCTCCAGCCCCCCCAAATTCTCTTGATGCCCAACAAAATTTAGCATGAGAAGAAATTAGAGATGATGAACATTCGCCTCTAACCCAGAACCATATTGTAATACATTCTTCTTTCAGTTTTTCCCTTCCAGGCTCTGTATGTGATGTATAACATAAAGTAACAAATGCTACAAGGTAGAGTAATCGGACGCGCTGCACCCCAGCCCCAGATAAGGAAGTGCTGAACAAGGCCCCATTAGAGGTCTATGCCCGTCTTCCAATTCCCTTAGTGCAAATCCACAGAAGATGCACTGGGACGCACAGGTGGCTATGAGAACAAAGGGCAGGGTACACAGCCTCTCCTCCCAACGCCAACGCTCCCTCTCTTGGCCAAGAGAAGCGAGAATAATAATGAAGCGAGTTAAGCATAGAACACTCCTGGCACATAGAGACATGTGCAGTAGAAAGGTTAACTAAGCTGGGTGTAGAAGCCAGGCCTATAATCCTGGTTCTTGGGAGACTGAGGCAGGAGGGTTGCCACATTTGAGCCCAGCCTGGGCAACTTGACAACTTAGTAAGACCCTTTGTCAACATGAAAAAAAAAAAAAAAATTCAAAAAAAGGATTGAGATAAAGCCCTGGGTTCAATCCCCAGTACCACAAAGGGGAAAAAAACAAAAAACAAAAAACACTGAGTAGTTTTAAAATGATTACTGGAAAGTACAAGGACCAATTACTTGTGAATGGCCGGAGAGATGGCTCAGTGGGATAAGCGCTTCCCTCGCAAGCTCAAGGGCCTGAGTTCTAATCCCCCGTTCTGCCCCCCCCCCAAAAAAAAATAAATAATTACTTGTGAATTACTTGTGATTTCGTGCCTTAAGAAGTACATTAGTTTTGGGTTTTTTTTGGCAGAACCAGGGATTGAACTCAGGCCCTTGTGCTTGCCAGGGAAGTGCTTACTCCACTGAGTCATCTCTGCAGCGCAAGAAGTACATTAGTGAAGAACTTTATT